AGTGAACGAAGCCGTTCATTCCGCGTTGGTCACACTACTAAATAATTAACTTCAACAGCCACAATGTTCTGCTCAGCACTTCTTTTTTCGCAGTGGAGGAGGTTTGCTTACGGCTAAGGCAATTTCCGGTAAGCTTCATAGCTCCGACTTGGCGCATTACGTACGTCACGGACAACCGTTAAAACTTCAGCATTCACGAAGCCAACCGTTGATTAAGAGGGAGGTTTTTTTTTTCCAATCAGGCGAGATAAAAAACAAACCCGAAACGTAAGCAGTTGGTTTATTGAGACACTGTCATTGCCGTGGTAAGGCCTTATGTTGTTACAGGACACTTAAGAAAAGTTCAGAGTGTAAAACACGCATACAGACACAGTTTGGCCTTTGAGGTTTGGACGGATCCGAAGATGTCGCATCCAGACAATGACGACGATTCCATCACGTTTTGGAATTAAAGATTTTTTTTCCCCCAGCATCCTCCGCGGCTCAAACGTACTTCTTTGAGGCGTGTGAGGCCGTTGGTTACAGTACAAGACGAAGGTTTAAGTCTGAGGTGCACTTTTCCTCTGACATCGCCTCCACAAATCACTTGCCCTCTCCACCACAGATAAAGTGACTCTTAACTTTGTACATATTTTAGACGTTGCGAGCCAACAAATCGCTCCAATCCAACCTCCATCAATGTTTTTGTCCCACATGGCAGCAGGGCAAGTTTGTTGTACATTTAGCTGCCTGAAAAGAGAGATGGCCGCCCTGCGGGAGCGTCACTTGTCCCTGCTGAGGACGATCTCCGTGAGCCGGATGAGGGCGTCCCTCTCCGGAGACGGCCGGAGACGGCTGATCTGTCGGATGGCTTCCTCGCAGTATCGCCGCGCCAAGTAAGTAGTCTGCTGTACGCCGTCACTCTGGAACAGGAAATAAACCTGATTATTGTTGTAAGTTAACGATCAATGGGTTAATCTAACTAATGATCTTATCGATCATTGACGTTTAATTGATTGGCGGCCATTTTCTTAAAACCTGAGTTTTGCCATTTAAAAAGGACCAACCGTCTTTCCATGACAAAGGGCTACATTTTTTCATAATATGCTTAATTAAAAATGTTTACATTTTGTCAGGTGTATAAAATACTGACTGAACATAAAATGTAGTTTTCTCACAGTAAACTTTTAAAACTAAGTTTTTCCTTTTGTGGGATGTAAAATGATGTAAAATATTTTTTTTAAAAGCAGAGTCCAACCTAATAGAAAAACTGAACTAAAATAATATTACTGTACTTTTAAGGTCATTCTTTGTGGAAATTAAGTGCAAATATAGCATGAAAAAAATGAATCTATCCATTTATCTTGTGATGGTTCAAAGTATCAACATACATGGACGCCACATTGATCCATGAAAACTTGGATCAATGTGGCGTCCATAATCAGTTTTCTTTCTTATGTACTGGGAAAAATATCCGTTATAAAACAATCAAAACTGGAAAAAAATAAAATGATCTGCATTCGTATTTTGTGTAATAAAATGAAAATCTATTAAATCGGCTGTAAATTACCAAAAATGAGGGCGGAAAATGTTTGGAAAGCTACTTTTTTATAAAGGTTTTAGTAAGGGAAGTTGTTTTATTTCTTTAATGTATCACTTTCTGAACTTTTCACCATCCTACCTGGAGGACGTACTGCCAGGCACGATCTACGTCTCCTTTGGAGCTGAAGCGTCGCATGATCATGGCGTGAAGCTCAGGAAACTAGAAACAAGTTTTAAAAAAAATTAAAGAATGCCCATTCTAATTCGCTGACTGTTCTTTAAATGGAAACTGCTTTCTGCTGCCTCACCTGCTGACAAGCGAACAGAACTGGCCCGGTTGCCAGACCCAGTTTCAGGTCGGCGGCTGCTGGTTTCCCCAGCTGCTCGGCGCCCGACGTGAAGTCCAACACATCGTCCACCAGCTGCGAAAACCACACATCAGAACCCGACTTTTTCACGTTTAACTCTTCAAAATTGGAGTATTGATTACCTGAAAGGCGATGCCGACATTCTTCCCGTACTGGTACGCTATTTCATGGACTTCCGGGTCAGAGTTCACCAGAATGGAAACCTTGAGATGAACAAAAACAGACAACAATCAGTGGGAAACAGAAAAACAGATTTCCCTCAGTCTCCGCATCAATGTGATCAGGTTATCACAGGAAACAAGATTAGTTGCCATAGCTACGCAGATGATACTCAGCTCTACATTATGATGTCACCTGGTGACTCTGAACAAACAAGTGCTTAACAGAAACAAAACTGAAGTTATTATCTTTGGACCTAGAATCACTGCACAGAAACAATCAATCCAGCCCGAAATCTGAGTGTGAACCTTCACAGCCACATAAACATGGCTACAAAGTCGGCCTTCTGTCACCTGAAAAACATTTCTATTGTTAAAGAACTAACACTGCAGAAAGATACATCCATGCCTTTATCTTCAGTCGCACTGATTACTGTGTTTCCATAAACCATAAAATTGCATAAATTGAAATTACAAAATTAAATTAACTTTACAGAAACACACCAATTTCAGTAAAAAGTTTCAGCACTTTTTTCGCATCACACGAGTCACGTGATCCACAACTGGATGTTGCTACTGGTGGAAACGCAGAATATAACAACAGGAAGTGGTAGGAGAATGATGGTTTGTTTTTGTTTTTAGATTTTAAAATTCTGCTGTTTGTTTATAAATCACTGAACAGCTTAGCATCACAATATACTGAAGATCTGCCGTTGTTGTATCAACCTTCCAGACCTCTCAAGTCTTCTGATTCTGGTCTGAACAAACTTCCAGAAAACTGCAAAACAGCCAAAACACTGAGTTCCTTTAAATAAGACTAAAAACCCACCTGTTTAAAATTCCTTTTGATTCATAATAACTGGAACATTGATCAATATTTTGATGTGAATTTATCATTTTAATGATGATAAATATGTTTTCTACTGGTTTTCACAATTGTTGACTATATGATGTTTGTATGATGTAAAGCTCTTTGAATTACCTCATTGCTGAAATGTGCTATACAAATAAACTTGATTTATTGATTGATTTATTGAACGTACATACTGCTTTACAGCTGTGTGCCATCAGACTCGCCGTCTTCTTGTAGGTTTTCTCCAGGTAGTGTTTGAATCGCTCATTCTCGTTCTCCTTGGAGCCGAGCTGCATGAACTCGCCTGCAAGGAAAACAAACAAAAACAGGAAGTGAGCAGAAACCGTCGAAACGACGAAGATGTGGAGCGTTTTGGACATACCTCGCACCAGATCCTCGATGACCTGGGAGACGACCTTCACCACGGCGCTGTTCCCGATGCGAGCCAGTGCCATGGTGGCTGCTGAGAGGATGAAGTCCCCGGCTAAGATGGCCTGGAAGGGACAAAAAGCTAAGTTCAGGTATTCATTCCTCTTTAAAATCTTATGATTTTTAAGCATAAGAATATTAAATTCACGTGTGACATAAAGATAGAGAATGGATGGAGAGAAAGAAGGAAGTATAGAAGGGGGTAATGATGAAAGAAACAAGAGGAAAGGGGGCAAGAAATAACAGTCAAGTTCCCTGAAGTCGTACCTTTCTTTCCCCCCACACGTCGTTGATCGACTTCTTCCCCCTTCGCTCATCGGATCCGTCGATCACGTCGTCGTGCACCAGGCTGGCGGTGTGAATCATTTCAGAAATCATCGCTATCGTCCTTTGACCCGGGAGCAGATCCCTGCAGGAAGCAGAGGAGAGAAAATAAAATAAAATCACACTTTTATGCCTCATAAATGGATTTATTACAAGGTAAAGTACAACCTGTGACTTTCCACTAAGCTTCAATGAATGTTTTTAAACTACACAGCAAAAAAGACCCTCAGAAAATAATATTTAAAGACATTCAGAATGCAGGAGTGAGTGCCTATGTTACCCGGCTCTGTTGCTGTGGATGTTCATGGCCCGAGCCATCAGGATGACAATGATCGGTCGGATCGCTTTGCCCCGACCATCAAAATAGTAATCGCAGAGGTACTTTAGCTCAGTTTTAGCCACAAACAGTTCCTGTTAGATACAACAAGAGACGTTACGGTTCCATTAGACACTTAAAAACACAAAATACTTTGTCACAAAAGGAAACTAAATGTTTCCTTTTGTGACATCCAAGTATCTTCAAAAACTCATCATAGACGGAAAGGATAGGAAGAATCTTCAGCAGCAGTCAGTCTTGCAGCTACTCTACAGAGGCCTCTGACTGAAAAGTGCTGCCAGTTAAATAAAATGATTGGTTTCAATCCGTTTAATTCTGGGATTATGAATGAATTTAAATGTACCATTAGTGGTGCGCATTTATCATTTATTGTGATACATCTCTGATTATAAGAGTTCTAATTTATTGTTAATTATGTTTAAAACCCTCTAAAACTTTCCTTGCTTTCAGGATAGATAATTTTACTATTTTCTTCACTGTCGGTTTAATAAAAGCATCAATACATCTGAAAATAAAATTCACTTCATCTGCAATATGCTTTTTACAGAACCATATTACAAAACAGGAATGCTTTTTAAGCGCAGTATTAGTGCTTGTGGAGCTTTAATTGCTGTGACAGTCATACAGTTAGCTAAAGATGACGCAACAAACAGTATTGCGAAATGTTGTGGTAAACATTTAAGTTCATTACTATTTATTATTCCATTATTTTCTCTAAATTAGATGCTAAACTCATCGGCTCACCTTTTTAATGTCGTCATATAAACTCGTCAGGTCTTTCTGCGCTAACGTAAAAGGGTCCCTCAGCTTTGCGTCGCTGTGCATCGTCCTGCAGCCGCAATACCGTAGCGTCGGATACAGCGAACTAGAGCGGTGTCTGTGAAGAGAAAAACACACCAACTTCACAAACGTAAACAAAACGAAGAAGTGATGCTTCAGCGGCACAACTCACCTGAGTAAAGAGGGATTCAGGTTAAGAGCTTTGGAGTGGATTTGTGCAGGAAACAGTGGCCTCTGAAAGTTAGCAAACATAGTAGAAACATGATTTATATGGCAATTAAAAATAACAGCTATATCTTAAACTCTATGGGATGTGTGTTGAATCTAAGAATATTAATGGATAGTTTAGTGGAAGGACAGCTTGATTAAAAAAATATTTTAACTGGTGTCAGTTAATCTTTGTTAATTTTTGTCAATAGTAACAGAAATTATGTCTTGAAAATATATCTGTGTGTAATGACTGATCTAAATTATGTTTTAATTGAATTGCTGAAATAAAATTATGGTTTTATTTGGGATTCACGTTTATAAACAGAGTTAAATGTCTCATTGAAGTTGGAAAGTTAAGTGAAAGGAAGTAAATAAGGTAGAAAAAGAAAGATAATTTCTGTATTTAAATTGTCTTTTTTACTGGACTTATAACTAAATTTCCTGGGAAACTTATGTTTGAATTTTACTAAATGTGAGCCACAACAATCCAAATTAACACTTGTGCAATGAATATAAATAAAACCCAGATTCACTTCTTGAATCAAATTATTAAATTAAATAATATTTTAAAAGGGATGTTTGTAACCCTAAAATTATCAGCAACTCATCAGAAATAAATCAAACTGGCATTGGTCTGATAAAAAGTTTATCAGTTCATGTTTAATTGTTTTATACCTTAGTGGTTTATAAAAGAATCAAAAGTTATATTTATTTCAGTTATTTTAAAGTATTTAGATATGCAAGTTTAAAAAATAATTTATCCTGAGGTCTCAGAAGTATCTTATGTGCTTCTATGTTAAATGAATGAATGAATGAAAAGAGGATTATAATTAAACAGACAGATTAGAGTAAGGGTCTTAATATTTATTTCCACAGGTGGAAAATAATGCTGAGATTATTATATTTTTAAAATCACCTGCAACAAGTCAATACTCATTCGGGACATTCAATCAGAAATCAGGTAGATTATTTTTGCAAACAAAATGTGATAAAATCCTTAAGGAAACGGCATTAACTTGAGGATCGGAACCACCGCTGAAGAGGGACCGGGCTGTCTCAATGACCTTCCTGGGTTTGACAGCACTTCCTGTCAGGTACAAACTCACCTCCTTCCCCGGTGCGGAGCTCCAGGACGGCCTAGCCGTAGGGGATGCAGAGGAGTACGCGGACTGTCCGCTAAAACACCGCAGCGTTTCGGTTAAACCGGAGGTCGTAAAGCCCCCTTTCAACCTCCGGCAGCACATCCACCAAGACCCCGCCATGATGCTTCCCAGCCCGCAGCGTGCGCAGGAGGGGGGGAACCGGTTGCATGATATGGCGGAAACGGAACACAGCGAGCGGGACATCGGTTAGCACAACGTTTCAAAATAAGAGTGGACACCGGATATAGTGAGTTACTAAAGATAGGGACCATTTCTATAAAATATTTGTTTTTCTTAGAAAAACTGAAGTATAATGACTATTTTACGTATATAAATTAACGCAGTAAAACGTGTTTTTGTGGCTTTACTTCCAGGAAGTATACCAGTGTTTGGGATCCGACTAGTTGCTGTGCGGCTAGCCGTTAAAGTTAGCATCAGTGTTCAACCTTTCTGCATTGTTTCTTATTAACGCTGCCAAAAATGTTAAGAAGCAATATTTTTTCACAAATATAGATTTATTAACAAATGCAGATTTTAGTAGTTTCAATTGAATAATTGCATCTTTTGAAGATACTTAAACAATATGAAATATTACAATATTTAATTTCCTTTAGGGATAAAACAATAAGTATTAAAATGGTAAATTACCCCTTCCATCCTCCTACAAATTAGAGTCAAATAAACCAATGAATAACAGAAAATAAAAATATAAAAATGTTATACTTTTCATACTATATTTTTTCTCTGGTTACAAGAGAAACCAGTTGGGTTTTATTGGAATTATATGTGATTGACCTCAGGGTATTATTGTAAAGTGGAAGGAAAATGTTGGATGGTGCAGGATTTCCCACATTTGTAAGCCACAAATCTGAAAAGTATGGTATATGTCTTTTATCAATTCATTAAACCTAAGAAAATAGTTGGATATTTGTAGAAAACAAATCTATAAATCATTGTACAGTTTCTAAATTTGTGGGGTTGATTATCTTATTTGAGAAGTAAAATTTGCTTTTCAGAAGAAGCAGTCCAATGTTTGTGACTGCAGTTAAAATTAAGATGAATACAAAAAGCGTCAATAAATAGGAATCTATTTTTTTAGAAGACATTATTTATCTAAAATTTATCTGGCAAAAATCCTTTAGAGAACTGGAAATGACTGTCCGTCCATACTTTGGACACCCTTTGTTTATATGATCATTTAAGAGTCGAATTTAGGCCTCACCATGTGTCTTGGACAAAATTAAACTTTTTGAGATTTAATTTCTGATACTTTTGGAGGATTTGTGGCATTTTCTAGTCATAACATCACTGCCTCCACACATCTAAAAAACTGAAATATTATTTGGCAGTTCTGTTTTTGCAAAACAGGTCAAGTCCAGTCAGACTGAAGACAGTCAATTAATTTTTATGACTTGTTTACAGCTCATAAACTGCTAAAATAAGCTTCTTAAAAAATTAGATCACTTGACACAATTTTTAAAGAAAATCGTACTTTGTCCTTCCACAAAAACTTTACATGGAAAATTTCGGACCTGTAAATCAGGCCAGAAAGAACAATTGGGACAAAGTTTCACTGCGCCCTGCAGGCGTGGTGTGCACACTGCATCTTGCCCCGTGCGATTTGCGTGTTCATTCTTGTAAGCAACTTTTTTTTTCCCGGATACTCAATGGAAAATATTTTTTGGAAATGTTGTACCTTAGTTTTCCGGGAAATCAGAAAAGCAGAGAATGATTTTTCAGGAAGATGAACCTGTTCTCCAATATCAGCCACGCTGCAGCGCCTTGATCGTCTTTTCCTCTGGTTACCACCAGGCGGCGCTGCTGCATCGCATCCTGCCATCTCCGTTTGTTACACAAGACTGCAGCAGAGGTGGACTAAGCAGCAAGACTTCCTCTGTGGGCTAAAAGGTTAAAGGTCAGCTGTTCTTCATGAGTAGAAATACCCTAATAAATTAGAATAGCATTGAAGAAATAATTTATTTCAGCAATTCGTGACACTTGTGTTAATTACACACAGTGTGATATTTATTTTAATTAATTTGATGGTTGTCGCTTACAATTAATAGACCAAATAATAAAAACCATCAATCTGATGTTATCAGCTGTAAAAACCAAAATTACCAACATTATTAAAAGCAAGACAGAAAGATATTAAATTATTGCCCCCATTTTTCAGCTTTATCCCAGATTTATGTTTTGAAAACACATTTTGACTTTAATTTTACGCATGTAAAATAGTACTTTATGTTTTACAGTTACTCAGAACAGAAAAAACACTTTTTTCCACATATTTTCTAATCACATTTAAGTATTTTATGGAAAAACACAGTGGAAATTGCTTTTTTGTTATCAAAATTTAATTTAATAAAGCTTTTAACAGTGATCCATTGCATGCAGTGAACTGTCAAGACACAAAACTAACATTTCAAAGTTTGTAAAACACACTTGGGCCAAAACTCTTAGTCATGGCTGTAACAATAAAACCTCCAAACAGACAGAAGGAATGTCTTTCTGCAGTATTTACAGTCAATGCAAATATATACACATTTCTTTACATAAAAGTATCTGTAAAGCTTTATTATTACATTATCCTCTGTTAACACAAATTTTCAACCTTTATGGATTTACTTCAAATTACTATTTTAAAAATAATGTTCAAGAAAAGTACAGTGACTGGATGCAGAAATGAAACCATATTAATCTTATCAAATGATGAATTGATGAGTTTTCTCTTAAATAAAAAGGGCTGAGCATTTTTCCATTCTATAAAGGGCTACATTTTTCATGATACACTGACTTATTTAAATTAATTTTAATATTTTGTGTCAGCTGTCTTAAATACTGACTGAATAAGCAGAAAATTGAGGTTTCTCACATTATTAAACTTATTTAAAATACAACTCAACGGGAACCTCTTAAGTTCCTGTTTTGTTATATTTATTATAATCGGTTTATATTTCAAAACAGAACTGCATAAAGTGCATTTAATCATTAAACCTGTTTTAAGATCCCACAACGGACTCTGTCTGGACCGTTTCTCTTCCCCCCTTCTAAAATAGCCGCCATCTTTAATTCTGTATCAACGGCTCCGCTTAAGGATGGTGGCCAACGGCGCCCTCTGTTGGATGGCGGCCAAACTACAACGCTAACTGAATATCTAAGACATTATTAGTGAATCTGTTAGACCTAATTTTAATCTAATTGACAGTTAATGAATTGTTTGCATCCCTAGTATTAATCTCTATTGTAATCATCTGGAGTAAAATTATTTATTTTGTATTTTTTCCATCTGGAGCTACTGATCAGTACGCTTCCTCATGGCTGACATCAGTTCTGACATAAAGTCCCCGCCACCGCCGCCACCGCCTTGCAGCGTTGGTGTTGTCCTCTTCGGAGGAGCTGGAGGCATCTTCTTCTGCTGTGCTGCAGGTCGTGGAGCGGAAACAGCAGCAGGAGGAGGCGGAGGTGGAGGCGGGGGAGGAGCACCTGATGCTACGAACACCGGATCAGGTGGAGGTGGAGGTAGAAACTCTGGATTTGGAGGCGGAGGGGGAAGAGATTTGTTGATGTTTCCACCAAAATTAGCCGCCGGAGCCGGAGCCGGAGGAGGAGGAAGTGAGCTGTAGCTGGTAGGAGGCGGAGGAGGAGGAAGGAAGTCTGGAGGGTCTTCAGAGAAGTTGTCCATGGGTGGAGGCGGCGGCGGAGGAGGGAGGCCGTCCATGGAGAGCGGAGGAGGGGGGAAGTTGCTGAGTGGAGGCTTGGAGGCCAGCGACGGCGGTGGAGGAGGAAGGACGGGCTCAGGAGGAGGAGGAGGGAGGATCTCGTTCAGAGGGGGAGGAGCAGGGAGATTACCGATGCCCTGAAAAAAACAGAAAGAATTAATGGAAGATTTCCACCAGGAAGACATATTTAAATCTGCAGCATGAAACTTTAAGAAAATATATCCATTTACATATTTATTAAAACTGTCACCATGTTGTGACAATTTGGTATGAGAAAAAGTTCAAGCTCCTCTACTGTCTCCCAGTCCTACATAGAAGCAACCAATCAGAGCCAAGAGGCGGGTCTTAGCGCTGACAATCATCCTCTCCAGCAGAGCATGTTGTGAATCTGAAGGCTAGTTAGCATAGCCACCAATAAAATGACAGTTTCCTATAACGAGTTGTTTCTCCGTCATCAGGCTGATTCACAGCGCCAAGAGGAAGGAAGGAGGGAAGGAAGGAAGGACACAAAAATAGGAATAAAGGGCACAAAGGAAGGAAGTACTGAAGGAAGGATGTTAATAAAACTTCCTGACTGTGAGTGTATAGTGAAACCCTCAGAGTTTCTTCTTCAGGTGATTAGTTTACCTGGTGCGGCGGTCCAGGCTGCGGTTTGGGGGCGTGGCCATTAGCTTGCGTTGCTGTTTTGGCTGCAGGAAACAGAAACGTGAGTCGACTGGGGGAAATGACATCACAGCTAAATAAAGCCTGCGAGCCGCCGTACCTCTGATGGTTGGTGACGGCGTTGAAGGGCTGGAGCTGGACGGAGTGCTGCGGTTCGTCCACACGGCGGCGCTGACAGCGGCCTTCCTCTCTGCCGTTTTGAAGTTTTCATGCAGCGACGCGCCGTACTGGAAAAGAGACGAATCGCTGCTGTAAAACACCTGAGTTTTATTGAAATAAGTCTTTGAACGTAGCGTAGATCAGTTGGCACCTTAGCGATCCGTATGCCGGTCACCCAGAGGTTCATGGTCCAAGCGTCGTCACAGCAAAGATATTTGATGTACTGAGACTCTTTCTGGATCTGAGGATGCTGCAGAAAAATTCACAATATATTTGTTACTGATTTAAAAGTTCATGCTTGGCGTCTTTTCAGCTGTTCAAGAGAACACACACTCAAAAAAGTGTGAAATTAAAATTAATATTTACAAAATAAATATGAGAAATGTTGATTTTATAAAACTGTTATTATCTATCAATTGCATTTTACTTATTTGTGTAACTTAAAATAACTAAGTCTAATTATATTTTACCAGCAATGTCAACAATATCAAATAACTAGTCAGTTCTATTCGCCACACATTATGCATCAGGAATTTCACCACACAAACATTTAAAAGTTTTTACTTAAAGTTGAAGTTTAGAAGTTATGTTGATTGTCATTTTCTAAATAGACAATTATCACTTTTCTCCAACCGTGTAATAGGGTCGTTGTAGATATATAAAAAAGGATTTCAATTGCTGCAAATTTTGATATTCTCTGAAATTTTCTATAAAAAACTCAGAAACTACCAAGTTTCAAAAGTTAAAAAAAAAATGGAAATTTTCTGAGCTTGTTTTCACTAGAAATTTTCTAATAGATCAAACAGGAATTTTTCAGGTTAGTTTTTTCTTTGAAAAGTCAAACATTTTCTAGAAAAAAGTCTGAAATTTTGAGATACGTGTGAGAAATTTTCTAGGAAAAAAACAAGGAAATTTCTGACTTTCAAAATTCAAAAATGTTTTACTCAGAAATTCTCAAATTTTTTGTAGAATATATCTGAGATTAATCTCAAACTTTCATATTTTTTACTAGGATTTTTTTTTACTTTTCAAACTAGGAAATGTATTAGTTTTTTCTAGAAACATTCTGTTTTTGAGTTATTTTAGCAGAAATTTAATCCCTTTTCAAAACAAAATAAAGGCAGATATTTCCTCTGATGTGAGGCCTTACAATAAATTTGCAAACAAATTTAACTCTTCCTAAAGTGTAAAATATTAAGTATTTCTTTGTCTTACTTGCCCTGTTTTTTGTTTTCTGTTGCTATTCACTGAGTTACTCATAAGCAGTGTACTTTTTACTGAAGTTGGCTAAATAAAGTAAAGATTTTCAAAGAAAAATCTTTGGAAAGATTAATTTCTGAGATTAGAGAGAAAAGAGTTGCACATCCCTTTTAACTGTTAAAAAATCATCCAACGGCTCATATTTATTCTGTTAGCATGTTTCCGTTTACACTCCTGCTATATTTACTCTCATGCATCTGCTTATTAGTTATAATAATAAGGTCTAAAAAAAAGTACAAGGAAGTGCTAAACAAAACTAACCCTTCTTTACAGCTTTCAGATAAACTGGATTAAAATGTCTACTTTCACTTCTTCAAATTAAAGTATTTATTGCATCTCAGCTTCTCCGTCAGGCAAACAGCTGCCAGACCTCAACGTGGTGTTGCTAGCATCCGCAGAGACGAACTCACCTTCAGAACGAAGCAGAAGTCAGTCGGGGCCTTGTATCTGTTCTTGACGTCTTTGCCGTAGTAAACGTTTACGTTGTCGAACTGGACGAAGCAGATCAGATCGCGGGACGACTGGAAACAAGATAGACATTTTCACTGAACCATCCAAGGGATGCAACACTCTCTGGTGTTCACCCCACATGTTTTCTGCCAACTTTGACTATGGGCTTTGACTAGGCCGCTCCAAAGGTTAAATCTTCCTCTCGTGGAGTCATTCTTGTGTGTGAATGTGTTTTGTTTTGGTGCCAACTGGCCACACAAAGCTTTGGAAGAAGATGTTTCTGTTTTACAGCCGTACACTGCAAAAACACAAAATCTTACCAAGTAGCTTCCAGTGCAAATATCTCAGTCCACTTGAAATCAAACAAATTAATTTAAAAGTAAAATTGCAGCAAGATTTAGAGGCTTGTTTTAAGTAAATACTTCCTTAATATTGATGAAAAAGTTCCAGTTCTATTGGCAGATAAATTATAAAATGTATTGTTATAAGTTACATCCTCATGTACAACGTAATGGATGTCCTGTTGGCCCGTAAAACCAGTAATAAATAGGTTGGTATCGCTTTAAGAAACATCAGAACCACTGAAATATGGTACCATTTGATCAGGCTGATCATCCTCGTCTCTTTACCTTGGTTTTTCCTTTGGGAACGTAATAAATTC